GGATTGTGGGACAGGTTTCCTCCTTCGATTATAGCTGAGGGTTATTGACCCTTCACCATAGGGTGTGGGTCCCTTATCATGGAGGCGTGCGCCAGGTCCTGATGGAGGAGGCGCACAAATCCTGATTTTCCATCCATCCCGGAGCGACGAAGATGTATAGGGATCTTCGTCCCGATTATTGGTGGCCCTGCATGAAGCGAGACGTAGCATGGTATGTGGAGCGGTGCTTGACCTGCAGGAAGGTCAAGGCCGAGCACCAGAGACCGCACTGCAAGATGCAGCCGTTAGATATCCCGCTGTGGAAATGGGAAGACATCACGATGGATTTCATCACCAAGCTTCCCAAGACCGCGCGGGGAGTGGATTCGATTTGGGTTATCATCGATTGATTGACCAAGAGCGCCCACTTTATCCCGATTCAGGAGAGCATCCCGGCCGAGAAATTGGCCGATATCTACATCAGAGAGGTGGTGGCGCGGCACGGAGTGCCAGTTTCGGTGATTTCGGATAGGGATGTGCGGTTCACTTCCAGGTTCTGGAAGAAGTTTCATGACGAGCTGGGTACTCGTCTGCATTTTAGTACCGCCTTTCACCCGCAGACGGATGGCCAGAGCGAGCGGACCATCCAGACTCTGGAGGACATTCTCGTATAATAATAGCTATCATGCGAGTATCGACCATCCTCCCTTCGAGATGTTGTATGGGAGGAAGTGCAGGACCCCGATATGTTAGAGCGAGGTTGGACAAAGAGTGATGGGGAGCAGCGAAGTGGTGCTCAAGACGACCGAAAGGATTCAGCAGGTCCGGAGCAGGCTTCAGACTGCTCAGAGTCGGCAAAAAAGTTATGCTGACAAGCGTCGATCAGACCTGGAGTTCCAGGTCGGGGATATGGTTCTCCTGAAGGTGTCGCCTTGGAAAGGTGTCATCCGATTCAGGAAGCGGGGCAAGCTAGGCCCCAGATACATTGGACCGTTCAGGGTACTAGCCCGGGTGGGCAAGGTGGCATATAAGTTGGATTTGCCAGCCGAGCTCAGTCATATACACAACACTTTCCATGTGTCGCAACTGCGGAAGTGCCTGGTAGACGACACCGCAGTGGTGCCTTTGGAGGACATTCAGGTTGATGACAACCTGAATTACATCGAGCGGCCTGTAGCGATCCTCGACCGGAAGTCGAAGGATCCAAGGAACAAGAAAGTGGAACTCGTGAAGGTGCAATGGCAGCACCGGAAGGGGTCAGAGTGGACTTGGGAGCCGATGGATGAGATGATGGAGCATTACCTCGAGCTGTTTCAAGAGCAAGCAGCAGACTTCGAGGACGAAGTCTAAAATAAGTGGGGGAGATTTGTAGCACCTGGTTCTTGGTACGTATTCTTTTAATTTAATCTTTTAATAATTTGCATTTTTGGCCTTGGACTCGGCGAGTCGAAGGACTAACTCGCCGAGTAGAAGCGAGAAGGATCGCGGGTCTTAAGTGATGGACTCGCCGAGTCGGTTTCCAGACTCGGCGAGTAGACCCTGTTTGGACAAAAACCCTAATCCAGGGGTGTGCACCCTATTTAAACACCTTAACTCGGCCTCCTTCATCCCATTTACTCCAAGAAGGCCCCCATAGCAAACCCTAGCCGTTACTGAAGAGTTTTAAGGTATTGGGAGTGATCTTGGTGATTTTGTGGTCCAAGGAAGAAGGAAAAGCTTGAAGGATCAAGAGGAGGCTAGAGGGATTCAGTTGTGAGGATCATTTGCAGTCTTCAGAAGGTATAAAGTCTATACCTTGCTCTTTCATTTGTTAGATCCCTCGTTAGGAAGATTTATGGCTTTTATGAGCCATTTTGGTAGCCAACCATGTTTACAAACGTGGTTGGGGGTTTGAGCTTCTGAATCACATCATTTAAAGAGTCCCTAAGCAGATGTGAGTGGCTTTTGCACCCATAAAAGGTCCCATGCACCCTAGGAGCTAGTTTTATGTCCTTTTGAACTCAAAGTCCCATGCAAGCACGTAAAGGTTGTAACTTTAAGTGCTAGATCGATTGTAGAAGCATAGATCTATCTTTTGATCAAGGGTTGTACATCAGAAATCGAAGATTTAGTGAAAGGTGGTGACCAACTCGACGAGTCCATTCATGGCACTCGGCGAGTGCATGGTCCTGTCCATATCAGTTGAGGGTCATAAGGACCCAGTTGAGTGTAGAAAGGTTTCAGGAAGGTCACAGGGGGTGACCCAACGTTCTGGACTAAGCCATTATGCTGGAAATTCATGGGACTCAACGAGTGCATGAACATACTCGGCGAGTTCAAGGAAATCTCCTTAGAACTCGGCGAGTTGTTCATCAACTCGGCGAGTTGAGGACAGAAGTTGTTCATCAGATGAAGGTGAACTCGACGAGTTGTTCATCAACTCGGCGAGTCGGATGAGTTTTCATGTGGAGTTCGAATGGGAGAGGAACTCGTTGAGTTGACGGCTCAACTTGACGAGTAGGTGCATGGATGAGGACGAGTAGAGGGTGGGGGACTCGGCGAGTTGACGGCCCAACTTGGCGAGTCGGGTCAACTGGAAGTTGACTTTGACTTTGACTTTGACTTTGACTTGACTTGGTTGGGGGTAAAATGGTTATTTTACCCTAAGTATAGAGATCAGTTTCTAACTAAGTATTTTGGGGTTGTAGCCGGAGGATTTCCGGAGCAGCAGCGGACAGAGGTTTCCCGCACAGATTATCAGCGACTACTTGTACGAGGTGAGTTACCTTCCAGTAGGGGTGGGTCTACGGCCACAATGCCGGCCCACCAATGAGGAGTATTTAGAAGATGATTGTCTTTGTGATAATTATCTTGGTCTGGTTATGTGTTTGGTTATGAGTTATATCTGTATGATATGTTACGTGCATGATAGGGATAGTTTCCCTGATAGTGGTCCTTAGGACCGAGGGGTAGGTCAGTACCCGGATATGCCTGACTGTATGCTTATGTCTTGTATTGTATACTAGTGGTAGGGGGTGGAATAGTCCCCAGTTACCGGTTGAAAGATACCGATGAATGGTTACCGGTTGAAAGATACCGATGAATGGTTACCGGTTGAAAGATACCGATGAATGGCTACCGGTTGAAAGATACCGATGATATTGTATGGTATGTGGTATGATGGGGGAACTCACTAAGCTTTGTGCTTACGGTTTTCAGTTTTTGGTTTCAGGTACCTCTTCGTCTAAGGGGAAGGAGCCGACGGCGTAGCATGGCATCACACACACATACGATTTTCCGCACGGTGTTTTCTGGGATTGTACTCTGATATGATAGTTGTTTATGTTGTGGGTTTCAAACATGATACTTGGTTTTGAGATGACGTGTTTATACAATATTTTCTAATAAATGTTTTATGAATTAATTAATCAAAAATGAAATTTTTGGATTTGAATTTTGGGATGTTAGAAAATAATTTCACCAAAAATATATATACAAACAGAGCCTTTATGACATAAAATTTTGAATGTCATAAAGCTGCTGTCATAACTTCACACAAGTCATAGTTTACACAAATTATAACTTGACACTTTCCGAAAAATGGGTCTCACTTAGTAATTTATAAAGGGAAGAGCCATTTTGTCGAATTCGCTAATATTGGTTTGATTTGATAAATATTTAAAGCAGATTATTTTCAACAAACGAAACGAAACGTAACGAAATATCTAGTCAATGAGTACAACTATTATTATTTATTTAGTAAATAATGGATTTCAACGATTTGCTCAAAACTGTTAGTATTCTAGTCAGACAAATCTTCACAGTACATATATTTATATACAATAGTGTACGTCTAAAGTACTGTAAGAGTTATAACTAGAGTCTCCTGGGAGCTGGAATTTGTGTATAGATCTATACGGGGTTGACACCCCGCACCTTCGTTGTTCGCTACAGCTAGACCGGCCAGTCTAGGGTGACAAATGTCTTCAACAAAACCGACGCCCGAAGAACGTCATAACATGCACTCCGTCATATTAGTATGGTTATAACGACTCACTAGAATATATCAGAAATGTATTTATACAGATTTCACCTTTGGTTTACAATCAACTATGTTTTGATTACCTCAAATGAGACCTTTTCCACACAAGTGTTAAGGTTTTTAAAACTACTATTGTATAAATCAGAAAATATAGGATTTTCTGGAGAAAACGATTTTATACGATTTTGAAAACAACAAACTAAGACACAAATGCAACTATACTCGATTTGAAACAAGACTTACAACTATTTTGATAAGAAAATATCGGATTTTCTGGATTTCTAAACTATCATCAAGGTTTTATACGAAAATGCTTATGAACTCACCAACATATTTTATGTTAACGCTTTTCAAACGACTTGTATTCTCAGGAAATCAATAAGCAGGTGATGGATCGCGAACTCAAGATTATTTTGCTGTATTTTGGAATTTGCTTACTGATGTCTCTTTTGTGTAAAACTTGAGAACATAAACATGATGTAAAACAATGTAAGCTTGTTATATTGATGTATGACATTTGGATTTGCTATGTTTCATTTATATGCAATTGTTATGATACTGCACAACGAAGTCACTCGCCTCCGTACGTTTCCGCCATTCTGGTTCGGGGGTGTGACACAAGACGGAAGGTTTGTCATAAAGGAGAATGACACAAAGCCTCAATCAAAACTATCACGATCACAACGACCACAACAACCACAACATTAGGGTTTTCCTAATGTTGTATATATACTAATCTATACATGTATATCCCATGGTTGACGGGATCGTATCTAATCTATATTAAGAACCGATCTTATCACAAAGATACTGGATCTATGATTTATTCTATACTTATCTATATCATTTCCTAATATACAAAAGATTACAATCAGATAACTGTACTATAAGCTGATGCTGATAAGCTTAATACGCTGGCACTATATATGTAGTAGATGCTGACGCTGATAGATCAGCGTGTCATGTGTTTCACTCATCAGATCATAAGGCGTGGCCTTACATGCTCATTGTCAATAGCAAGGTTTGTTGTAGCGGTGAGGAAAGTGGTGTGTTTGTCGTGAATGGAGTTGCGTGGAGGGGGGCGGCCTATTCACCAAAGATTTGGTTTGCTAACGGGGGTGGTGTTTCTGTAAAGGTGAATGTTCCACCAGCGGTTGATATCACCGACAACGTCATGCTACTGAATATCGATGTTGCCTAGTTGCTGTTAAATGGGAAGGTTTGCGGTGGTGTGGTGAGAAAAGGCGTTGATCCTTCAATTGTTGTCACCCGAAGGCTGCTTACCGGAGTGACAACCGTCGTTGGACCATCGTACTATGGTGTATTGGTTGAAACGGTCATCGATGGGTGTGGTGAAGTAGTGGTGGTGATGTCCGGTTCTAACGACATCATGGATCTGACCGGGCTTCCCGGTGTTTTGCTGGCTTCACCGGTGCCTTCTGTCGTCATCTTCAACGTTGATGATGTGTGGTTGCCGGTTGCTTGTGGTCACACACCGGATGGCACCAAATGATGTGACATGGTCCTTCAGTTACTATCACACGACAGTTCTAATTGCAGTGGGATGATGATGGTTGCTCTGGGAAGACCTGCGAGGTCACAACAGAAAGGAAACCGCCAGCCGCTCTTTGGAAGGAGCTCACGGAAAAACGCTCTAATGGTCAAGTCAGTGGCTGAAAGAAGATAGTATAGTGAGAGCTAGGAGGGAATGGATTTCTATTTGAGGTGTTAGAGGAGACCCTTTAGACTGATACGTTCTTGACAGTCCGTACGGGGACAAGGTCGTCAAATCCGACAGGATCCGGTGCCTTCATTGATTAAGCGTGCTTCTCGTATTTCCAGAGGTAGATATTAATTTAGGTAGCAGTGCTTTGATCATATTCCTTGTTGCTGGGATCCGTTGGATTTATCATGGAGTGGAAGGTGTCCACTGAGGGACGAGCCTTCCACGCGGTCGCCCGACTCTAGAGGGGCGCTTGCGAGAGCGTGACTTCATCAGGGCGGCATTGTTAGGAATAGCTTGGCCTGGCGGCCGGCCTTAGGGCATCTTTAGCGCGTACTGATTGCGGATTCTAGCTCTTTCTAGGGGAACGTTATCAACGCAGTAACTGCACTCAAAGTGTGTGTTACAAATGTAGAGAAGCAGGGGACCTCAGGAATGACTGCCCAAAGAGAAATGAAGCAGCAAGGCTGAATGCACCACCAAAACCTAAGGCAAGATCAATCCAGATGATCCTTGATGAAGCATATGACACTACAAGAGATCAAGAATAAGGAGCTGCTTATCTGAAGTACAAGATATGAAACAGACATCTCATATAGATAGTATTATGTAGTGTAGCGCGATGTAAGAGGAATAGGGTAGGATAAACTTGATTAACCCTGTAATTATTTTTATGACGTAATATAATCCTTAGTTATGTTACACTATTTGATGTTTTAAGTTGAGATGTGATTTTTCTTGTATGGTGACTTGGAGAAATGTGAGACAATTTTTGGGACGAGTATGAGTAGGTGTGAAAAGTAGTAGATTCCTATACTATCGGAAGCACATGACTCACAATTCGATCAGGAAGAGTCACATGGTTACTAAGGCACTAGTAATTGAATTCGTCTTCTTCGTGTCCGTCATTATTATCGTTTCAGTAATGACTAAGAAAATGAATGTTATTCCGACCCTAGTGGTCATCATGAATCGAGTCCGATTAAGATAAGTCTACGAAGTAAGTAACTTGGTTCATATACCATATTCGATGTAGCGTCCAACTATAGTTAAAAACCGAAGGAAAAGATGATAGAATCAATCAATAGAAGTATCACAGTCGTCGTTAAGACTAAGCAGCCTATAGCAAGAAATGTTACCCACTATAATATGATTATATGACATTAGAACATGAAGGAAGGTATCTTCCATGCTGGAGTCTGAGTTAAAGAGGCCTGAGTCTAGTCAAAGCATCATGTTATGGAAGGTCATTAGAGCATGACCATGCTATAACGTCCCAAAAACTCAAAACCAAATTTTTTTTTATATTAAATAAACAATCAACCAAACATGTTTATCAAAACCATAACGAAATCATAGTATACCAATAAACATCCAAAAATACATTAAAGTCCAATACAGTGGAAATCATGGTGAGTGCAATGCGATCATCCCGAGCTCTTCCCCTTCGAACCAGAAGTACCTGAAAATTTAATTGAAAACCGTAAGCACAAAGCTTAGTGATTTCCCCAAAATATCCCAATACCATACATACAATAGGCCTTTCCCAACAACAATCACCCCCCCCCCCCCCCGACATTGATTCGTGGCCGAAATAGATCTGTCAATATCATGCGACGAGCCCCGCCCAACGCACTCATTGGGCCCTGCCCGACATAAATACAACACATACTACATGAAAGAGTCACACGGAAACATAACATACAAATAACATTAATCCATGGGCCGATATTGGTGCCTTCGACCCAACAAACACTGGGAGGAGACTCACCTCAATCTGCTAAAAAACCAGATAAATGCTCGGACTACTGATATGGGAAATCTCCATACTAAATATGATCAAATAATACCCTAATTAATAATTAGGTCATAAACCATAATCGGGACCCTACTTCTCTAATCCCGACTCCTAGATTAAAAAAGACCATTTTACCCTCCCTCAAGTGGCCCAATAATGGCCCAAATCCCCAAAAGTCACCTAAGACCCAAATCTATGAAGGCCCAAGGCCTGACAATGGCCCAACTAAAAAAGTCTTGTAGTCCAACAAGAGCCCAAAAGTGGCCCAAAATCAAAATGCCCGAATGGCCTCTGATGATTACCCTTAGGGTATGAGCTGGGTACCACTGAACAAACATAAAAGTATCACACAGACAACAAGTATAGCTACTTCTATCAATCAGGCATATATCCCTAATAAAACTAAGTTGTGAGATACGGGCCCCGCCCACACTCGGCAACTAAGCCCAACTTACAGCTCCGCGACCAAATCCTTGCGGGGTCTCAGCTGCGTACGCTCAGTGTACACTGGGGTACACCCGACGTACGCCCTCTCAGCAAAAAATTTGATTATTCCCTTAATGCTTTAACTCAAACGTCAAAATTTCAGATCTACTTCATTCTTAAGTTCTTAACACCTAAATTTGGCAACTTTACTCCTTTGCGTGTCTTAATGGGACCCAAAACCTATTTTTATCCATCTAAGTCCATAATATGAACACCAACTCTTGCATGCCTCACCAATACCCATCAAGATGACATTTTTATGCACTAAAAACATCAAAAATTCTAAGATCTAACATTCTAAGTTCCTAGAGTAGCTCATACTCACAAGGATGACTCAAGGGACCATAATATGCCTAAAAAAGCCCTAGACTAGATTTAACCACAGATTCATCAAGATAGAAACTTTATACCTCCAAATGCTAGAAAAATGGATGAAGACTCAGGATCTACGATCTACACTCCAACCAATGCTTGAAAACCAAGCTCCTTTTTATTCAAAGTGAGCAAAAACACGAAAAGTTAACCACCAAAGCTCAAGAACACTCAAGAACTAGCTAGGGTTTCATGGGGAATCTTTGGAGGGAAGGAAACTGATTAGGGGGTAGCCTCAAGCCCCGTAATGATGATTAAATAGGGTCCAAACCCTATAAATTAGGGTTTGTCCCCGAACTACGTACGCCCTACGTACTACACACACGCCTAGCGTATGCACCCCTTTGCCAAAATTTACACTTCACCCCCTATGGGACCAAAATTGCAACTAAATTAATATCAAGGGTCAAAAGAGAAATACCTTCGAACCGGGTGTTACAATTTTTCTCCACTTAAATTAGATTTCGTTCTCGAAGTTTGCTACCTCAAATACTCTAGATAACGCTCCCTCATCTCGTCCTCAGGATCCCACGCCCACTATGAATCCTTACGATGCTACCATTGCACCTTCACGAGATCCATAACCTTGTTTTGCAGAGTCTTTGTCCTCCTGTCAAGGATCACCATTGGCCTCTATGTATAATTCAGTCGATCATCCACCTGAATGGCCTCCAATGGAACCGCTGCGGAATCATCAACCAAACATTTCCGCAACTGAGAGACATGAAAAGTGCTTTGGATCTGACTAAGCTCCTCTGGCAGATCCAAACGATACGCAACCCTGACCAACCGAGCTATCACCCTGAAAGAACCAATATACCTGGGGCCTAGCTTGCCTCGCTTCCTAAATCGGATGACACCTTACCAAGGTTACAACTTCAGGATTATCATGTCCACAACCTGGCACTCTAGGTCTGACCGGTGTCTATCTGCATATCTTTTTGGTCGGCTCTGTGCTATCTGAAGTCTGTGGTGGACCTGCTGGATGAATTCTGTTGTCTTGAGTACGACCTCCATACTCCCCATAACCCGCTGACCGACCTCACCCCAACATATCGGGGTCCTAAACTTCCTCCCATAGAGTATCTCGAAAGGAGGTTGAACAATGTTGGCCTGATAACAGTTGTTATATGAAAAATCTGCCAAAGGAAGATACATATCCCAACTACCGCCAAAATCCAGTACACATTCCCGCAACATATCCTCCAATATGGATAGTCTGCTCACTCTGACCATCTTTCTGTGGGTGGAAAGTCGTGTTGAAGTGTACACGAGTACCCAACTCCTCATGGAATCTCTTCCATAACCTAGAAATATATCGAGCATCCCTATCAAAAATCATTGAAACCAGCACCCCATACCGTGCTACAACCTCTTGATTGTAGATGTCGGTCAACTTCTCAGCCGAAATACTCTTCTGGATCAGAATGAAATGTGCGCTCTTGGTCAATCGATCCAAATTGAATCATATTAAATCCACTCCATGTGCCGTTCGAGGCAACTTTGTGATAAAATCCATTGTAATCTCTTCCCATTTCTAGACAGGCATACCTAATGGCTCTATCTTGCTGTGAGGTTAATGATGCTCGACCTTGAATTTCCAACAAGTCAAACATCTCTCTGCATACCAGGCTACATCTCGCTTCATGCATGGCGACCAATAGTCAGGTCGGAAATCTCTATACATTTTTGTCGCTCCCGGATGAATAGAAAACCTCGAATTGTTCGCCTCCTCCATCAAAACCAGATGCGCACCAACCTAATATGGAAGCCACACCCTCTGATGGAGGGTCAATACTTCCCAACTATAATAATCATAGGAAGACACATGACCCACATTGTGCTCACTCTTTCGGTGTTCTTCCTTTAAAGCCTCAAACTGATTCTCTCAAATCTGCTCTAAAAGTGGGGTGATCATAATCATCCTTAGACATAATTCTCTGATCCGGGTAGTAACCGCCTTGTGGCTAAGAGCATCGACCACCACGTTGCCTTTGCTGGGTGATAAAGGATCTCACAATTATAATCCTTCACAACATCTAACCATCTGCTCTACCTCATCTTAAGATTTGGCAGATCTATCAGGTAACTCAGGCTCTTGTGATCCGTGTAAATAGTACAATGGACCCCATAG